GCCCCGGCCCCGGCCCCGGCACAAGCCCTGCGGGCGGCTCGCACCGCCGGCCCTTCCCGGCCCCGGGGTTTTGCCTCCAGAAAGTTTGCACTCGGGGGTGACAGCGGGAGGGGGGGTTGGGAGAGCAGCAGCGCCCCCGGGCAGAGCCTTGTCCTGCCCCTGCTGCTCTCCTTCCTGGGCGTGGGGGAGAGGAGCAGGCCCCAGGGCTGGGCTGCTTGCACCCTCTGGGAGGGCTGCGTTTTGTGGCCAGCGGTGCAGGGCAAGCCCGTGGGGTTGGGGCAGCGTTTCCCAACTCAGAAGTGGGTCACACAGTCACAAGAATATCTCAAAGGGTCACTGCTCGGCCTCTCTGCGGCTAGGACCAAGTGTAGGGAGCATGCCAAGTCCCCGGGACTGAAGGGTCTGGGATGGAGGATGCGCATCCGAACCCCGAAACCTCCTCTGGGCTTGGGCCAGCACGGAGGGTGCTGCCAAAAGAGTTGGGAGCATCTGAAGTCCCCGGGGTAACGCGCCCAGGATGGAGGACGCTGGTGGGTTGTACAACATGGTGTTGGCAAGGATTGAGTGCTGCCTGCTCAGTCCATTAGGTGTTTGAAACGAATGAGTTCTGCTCAGTCGATATGATTTGGAACTGATTTGGCTAATTTGACCTGGAATATGAAATATCTTAAAGTGTGTGTGTGTGTGTGTGTGTGTGTGTGTGTGTGTGTATATGAAAGGGTCCCTTACCAACTTTAAAAATGGATCAAAACAGACAAGTTCTTTGGGGAAGTCAGATACCTTTTATTTGACCAACTAAAATAGTTGGAACAATTCTTCTTTGCAAGCTTTCAGATACAAACACTCTTCATCAGGCAGAGGGAGCATTTCACAGCCAACACCCCTGGAAAATGGATCAACAGACTTCAAAAATGGATTCTCCTTTAAAGGAGAAAAATGTGGGAAATCGAGGCCTTTCCCTTGCAAGCTGGCAAAGTTCCAGCCTGCAAGGGGCTGCTTGGGGCCCCTCCTGCCCCACACTCACCTCCTTGCCCCCACATTAGGGGTGGGGGGCAGCAGGTTGGGAGTGAGGGGCACTAGGTCAGAACTGGCAATCAGTGTTTACAACTGGGGCTTGGTAAAAAAAAAAAAAAAAAGATTGAAAACCACTGGTTTAGAAGGATGTAAAAGCCTGTTTTTTATCTAGACACCCTCCTCCGTAGGCATACTGAAACAATAGGCTCAAATCCCAGGAGGGAGGAGGCAGTCATTCTTTAGCCCCTCAAATGTATGCCAAGCCAAAGCAAATGAGGGCAGTGGGTGGAGGAGTCATTTTTCTTCCTTAGGCGGAAGCTAAGCATTGCACAATTCCTTCTGCAGAGCTAGCTTTTGAATGAGATCTGAAAACATACAGCTTTATGATGTACACTGAATGGACACTAAGGGCCATCTTTTTCTTGTGAAGTAGAGACCCGCTGAGGTAGACGTGCACGTACAGTTACTAGGAGAGTGTACACGGATTGGGCATGTACCAACTTTGCTAAACTCTTCTTGCAGGTACTTCTGGGACAAGTAACTTTTTTCGCTCCTTGTTTTTGCATGTCCTTGTAGTTAAGGAGAGTCACAGATGTTGTGATTAAGGGGCATGTCCAGATGAGCGCGCACATGCATTTCTCTGGGGACAACTAGCAGGCCACAAATTAGTGCCACTGCTAGTTGTCCCTGGGGAATGCCCCTGCACACGCAGTGTGGCATGGGACGTATTGCCCTGAGTGAGGTAGGGGAAGCTAGGGCCAGCACCTGGGCTGGCCACACCTGCCTTACCTGCAGTCCTGGTGCTCCCCAGGACCACGGTGGCAGCCAGAGCATGGTTTTGGGTGGCACATGCTGCTGCCATGTGCACCATCCCACTTTTTTCAGCACCCTTTTTTTGATACTGGGATCTCCCAGTATCTAAATTTGACTCCGCACTGCAAGTATACAGTGCAGAGACCCAAACATACACAGGGTGTGTTTTGCAGTGCTTCAAAAGTCTCTGAGGCACTGCAGAGTGCATGCACACGCTCGTGTGGACATGCCCGATATGGCCAGTTTTCTTTCCGGTTCTGTATGATTGTTATCTGGGCATATAATCCTGGCAAACACACAAATCTAGGCACATATGTGTGTTTGCATATTGTAAAAAGGAGCCTTTTGGTTTTAAAAAAATCTGTCCACACCATTTCTGTGACATGTTTCAAAAGAACAGGAGTTTGCTCTGATGACTTATGCCACATGATCAGAATATCTGTTTTCCATAGCCTTGGAAAGAAGCTCATTTGTCTTGCTTTCTACTATCCTTCCCAAAGGCAGTGGGTATATTTTATAAGTGCTGTAGCTGTGCATTTTGTGAAGTACTTAAAGAATTTAAAAATGCTATATGGATGTGCACTGTGTGAAGCTGTTGCAGTCTAATTTGAATTGACACCTTGGATTGAGCATGTCATAATTTGTGATTCACAGAAATGTTTCATAGTTAGTTCATCAAGCCATAAAAATTGGTGTAATAGTAATCAACCATAATCTATTTTATTGTCTCAGTTTTTGTCCCCTTCTCTTCTCCCTCCTCCATCCATACAAAACAACTTTTATATCTCTTACGTTAGGGAATTTTCTGTCCCTCTTCTGATGTTAGCACGTAGAAATTGTTTACAAAATTATCACACATTAAGTAACCAACACTTTTTACAAAGTTTTGCATTTTTCATTTTCTTCAGATAAAGAGAGGTCACTCTGTCTTAACTTGTACAAATTGCAACATCTTTTCTGCTTCTGTCATCTTGCAGGAGTTTCGCTTTTGGTGTAAAAAACGCTGCTGAGCATGTGTAAGAAATTATAAGTAGATTGGCAAATATACATGATAAGCAAATGATACCTGGATATTTTCTGATCTGACTTCCACTAGAGTCAGCTATGGGAATTTTTCCATTGATTTTAATGGGAGTTAGAGTGACCTCCTACTGTCTTGCTGTAAAAACTTTCTTTTATTGAATACCCAGAGCACTTACTTTCCAGATCATCAGCCAAATGAAGCACATATAAATATCCTGTAAAATATGTTTTTCTTCCAATTACTTTGCCCACTACCCATTAAAAATTAAGTATTTCAAATCTTTATACAGTCAAAATATGTACATTTTATAATACGTTCAGTACTTTCCCTGATTCAACAAAATTTAAGCTTCAGTACAGCAGATTTAGCATATATTTATTCACATTCTTAAAGTTAAGCTATAAAATATTCTTTCAGGTGGTCCCCAATACGGGAACTAATTATTTGCCCACTGAAGTAAAGAACAAATCTGCCATTAATGTCCACTATGCAGGTTCAGACCTATGATTTTATATGATAAACAGAAGTGTGACAGTATAAAAATACAGGAATGAAAGCTTGTTTATTCTCATGGCTGCTACGTGGGAGAAGAACTAGTGATGAACAACAAGCTGCCTGATGTCTGCAGTGAGTTGTGGTGCAGAAATCTAAGAGCAGTGTTTTGCATCATGATTAGCAAAAGGCATTTAGTGAAATCAGCTTTGGATTTTGTTATATGGTTTCTGTCAAACTTGTGAGAGGGGTTGCTTTACTCCTGAACTTTTGCTGCTGCTTTGGAGAATAGCTGTTGATCACAGACTTTTAACTTGAGTTAGCAAGGTTTAATGGTAATAGAGAGTAAGTAAGGTTTGGCCAGCTAAAGCTTGTCTAGCTAATTTAGTAATTCCCAAAATCAAAAGTAGCAATTCTATAGGTTGTTGTATCCCCCTGGATGTTATGGTTATGAGAATAGATAATAGGAATGTCCAACTCTAGATGCCAAGTGTTAGTCTTCCATCGGAGTATTGAAGAATTGTTTCTTTAGCATAGATGTTACGATACCGCACCACAAGATAGAGGGGAAAATGAGCACTATTTTATTGAGACTAAAAAACTCTTACAAAAAAACATGTTAGGGAGGATCACGTATGTTGTGTTGCTTTTGCTTCTAGCATAACAATATATTAAAATACCTGTCTGCTTCCTGGTTTATTTTTATGCCCACATAGTTCACACTTCTCACCTTACATTGGTGAGCGATAAATTCGACAGAACTATTTGCGTAACTGCCTGCCAGTGTGAGTAGGGGATTTACAGTCTGGCCCGCAGTCTTTGAGCCTCTTGTCTGCTATGAGAGGAAGAGTGTCAGAGTTTATTCTGTGTTCACTCATGGAAATTATTAATACTCTTTCCCACAAAAAAGGCTTACAAAAACACATATGACTGTATGATACAAGTCTTGTATAACATTATGGAAATTTACCAGCTCGTACATGAAACCACCTTTTTTGCTCTTTATTGTGGTGATAAATCTATGAATATTTTATTTGCCCCCAGCAAATGAATGACTAAAATTTTGAATGTCTGCATAACATGTATTCCAGCTACATTTAATTTCCTTTATTAATAAATCCCACAGGGATTTTTTAAAAATAATTTTAAAAGTTGATTTCCTTTTATAAAGACTTCTGCAGTCTTGAAATTCTAAATATTACACATTCAGAAACAGTTGGGAATAATTTGGGGCAAGTCACCACCTGCTCCGTTGGTCTACATTTCTTTAATTAGTGTGTATTCCTTCAAAAGGTGTCATTATATAATTTTCATGTTCCTTTTTCTTTTAAATGTTTCTGTTGTATATAGGTAGCCCATTGTAAGGTGGCTTGATAATGAGGATAGAGACTTTTTTTTTTTTGTTCTTTCTTTCTTTTTATTTTGATAATATGTCTTCAGGAACGTAGGAAAAAACCCCAAACCCTCAAGTTAATAATAATACAGTTTCTGGAGGCATCTGGTATGCATATAGGTAGAGAATGGTGTAAGAGAGAACATTTTTAAACTGCAGGTTCTGAGCACATTATCCTATAGTGACCACTGGTTGGAATGCAAACATGAATATTCTTATCAGGAGATTTCTAAACATAGAATGGATTTACTGAGAAATAGGATTAGTACTTAACAGATCTGAGTAAAGATATGAGCATTCACATGTGTTGTTCTCATTAACTGGAATTCATCTAGATCATAATTTTTAAAAAGATTATTACTACTAGAGTGATTCCTTAGTGATGATATTTTAATCCAAGAAACACTGGTTTTTTATCAAACATTTTTAAATTGTCTCTAGTTATGCCCTTAATGAGAACTGAACCCAGACTGCTTTTATTTTTATTTTTTTTTACAGGGGTGCATTTCTTCTGTTAAATATACATGCACCCAAGTCTGATTAAGACAGTGGAGAAAGAAAAATAGTTGAAGGTAAAATATTTGTTTGAAATCTTCAGAGTACAGCAAAAAATCTTAAATTTACGTCTCTGTTTTTTTCTGAGAGCTGTCTCTGGGTTTTGTGTGCAAGTCAAAATATGTTTTATTTAAACAGAGTGCCAAAACAACACCCCAGTATAAACAGCTGACACACAAATAGTTTTGATCTAGATTTAAACGTTGTGTCTAAGACTTTTAGTTGAAATAAGTTAACAATGACTTTGCTCTTGAAACCTCTCTTTTTGTTTTTGCTTGTTACTTTAGGACATTTCTTCTGGTAGGTGCTCCAAAAGCAAACACTACCCAGCCTGACATTGTAGAAGGAGGCCAAGTGCTGAAGTGTAACTGGAATTCCAACAAAAACTGCCAACCTATTATATTCGACTCCACAGGTAAAATATGTTTTATTGCAGGGGTTGGCAAAAACACCTGCATGTTGTTGTGCGCAGTGCGGGTAGCGGGGGAGCTGCAAGAGGCCCGATCCTTGTTATGGTATCACAGCCCCGGCCACTTCCCTCTATCTGCCTCGAAGTGTGTGTGCCGAGCAAAATGGCACGCGTGCCGGGGATGCATTGTGCCCTGTTCTGTTGGATGCAAATGGATGGGACTTGTGATTCTTTCCCTGCCCTAAGTGATTTTGGTGACACAGAAAGGATTCATATTCACAAGGAGCTCATGACTGCATTTGGCTCGTTTGCAGTCAAGCCTGACTCTCTTTCTCCTTGCTCACTGAGAATTTGATTTGGTTGATGCATATAGAAAGCTTGTGTGATTGCAGGTCACAGTTTTTGTTTTTTAACTTGATTATGTCCTCATATAGAGGGTGCCTTTATATATATTATGATTAGTCCCTCGTATGTATTAGGTGCCTTACTACTTCTTGAGGATCTGAGCCACAGCATCTTAGAACCACTCCTTAATACAAAAAAGGAAGAAATATTATGGAGTGGTTCTAAGATGCTGTGGCTCAAATCCCCAAAAGGCACCTAACTCTTAATGAAATCAATGGGAATTTTTTCCAAGAGGCTGTGTCTGTTGAGAATATAACAAGAAACTTTTGCGTGAGTGAGAGCTCTCTTTACCTACATATGTGCATCTGTCACTGAAATTACGTAGAGACCTCCAAATTGAAATTTTAGCAGTGTAAATCCAAACAAAATGAAACAAAACAAAACAAATTATCAAGAACTGTACTGTACATTTCTGTTCTGTTGTTTTTTTTCTGATGTTTCCTTACTATATTTATCTCTTATCTATGACAGGATTTCACAGGTTGTCACAAACAAGAACTTAGCTCAAATTAACCCAGTGTACTACAACTAAAAATTGGCAATGCATGTGATGTTATACACTATAATGTTTATCATTCCAGTTACTTGTCATGCTTTATTGCACATAGTGATTTCTACCAGTTGTATTAGGCTGTGTGATAATGTGCTGCAGATGATTCTACACTTGAGCTACTTGGTATTGAGTCCTGTTTCCAGAAGCTTGTTTTAGGTCAGCATGTGGAAAAAACCTTGCATGTCTTGAGTGCATTAGCAAGACCCATAATAGCATAGCTGAAGAAGCACCTGAGATTTAAGACACTGCTGGGCACTAGCGAGCCATGTGGTTTTGCCAGTCTCTTGTTTTGTCAGTCTTAGGGATTATTATGTTTTCTCAACCTACAATATGGTAGAGTGGAGAAGTTACTCTTTCATTTAATTAATTTGTGAGCAGAGTTCTGTTAACATCTATGCTTCTGAAATCTGCATATGATTTCCTGGAAGTTGTTCCGTTACCATAAATGTAAATGCTAAATGTGGTGTGTAGCATACATAAACATCATTTGAAGCTAGTTTCTTAAAATCTTGCATTTTTCATAAGGGGAAGAAAAAAAAATATTTTAATGTTCTTTAGGCCTGCCTACCAGTTTGTCGTCTTAGAGTAGCTCTACATAAGGGGACTTAGCCAATTCTAATGTAGCTGATTTTAGGATTGTGTTGTATTTTATCACTTCTCTTTACAGATGTATGATTCAGAATTCAGATTTTACTGATGTTTTCCTGACACAGGTATATGTGTTCTGCTACTCTATTTTTATTTCTGAGGTAGAGAAAGTAAATGTTTTAAAGTGGAATTTGGATATGACAGGCAGTGAATTTGGAAGTTAGTATCAGACACCGAAATACTTGGTTTTCTTAAACTACTTAATGATAAAGGTAATTGTGTGATGAATTGTGAAAAAAAAATTCCTAAAGCAAGTAAGTTGCTTCATAATAAAAGTAGACTACTTAAAGTCAGTAGCAAAACTCCCATTGACTTCACAGTTTCATAGTTTGTAGGGTCGGAAGGGACCCGAGAAGATCATCGAGTCCGGCCCCCTGCTATGGCAGGAAACCCCTGCCAATAACCCAGGATTTCACTCTAGGTTTTTGCCTTAGGGAACTTGCAGTGTAATTTCAGACATGAGTGAAATGAAAGGCTTGTATATGGTATGCTAGGAAGAAATTTAAGGTGATCATACAGTTGCTCGGTTTAGTCTTGCGTGTCAATTTTAGAAAAACACAACTTACTAATATAGTCCTAACAGTTTGGGTTTTTTCCTTACTAAGTGGAAAAAGAATATACTAGTATTAAAGCTGTATTTAGGGCATTGTGGGAATCTGGCTGGGTCATGCATCTCATAGTGTGGAAATGGGCTCTCACTTGGTGTTAATAAAATAGAGATTCTATTTTAATATGTTAAAACTGAAGCAACATCACTGTGTTGGCACCATTATTAAATGGATCTCCAATTCTTTCTCTTCGATGCATTTGTATTTACTGGGTTAAACTTAAAATACCATCTTGAACATCTGTCTTTATCAGGAATGCAAAAGTAAACAATTTTCAGGTTCTCCAATTCATATCTCTTTCTACATTGGTCAAAAATGTTCTTCTAAATTGGATCCCCCCTATGAAAAGATGCCTAAAGGGTAAGGGGCAAGAGAAGATGTACATCTTCAGCAGAAATCACAATATGTGATTTATGTTCTGAATGTATACAGTAGGCTTTCCAATCAGTATGGCAGGCCAGGGACATAGATCAAAGGTCTGGCTGCTGCATACTGGCTGGCTGTTTACCATACATTTATATGCTACTGGGCAAAACAAAATGTTTTGTTCAATTTTTTTGCTTCTAGGTAATCAACAAATTAGTTTCTTGGAACTTAACTATAAGACTAGCAGACTTTATCACACATTAATCAGTCACATGTTAAGTCATTGAAACTTAATTTCTGTGTTGTTTGAAACACTGAAAACTCGTCCAGAAACCATTTTGAAGATCCTGAAGTCTAAACAATTTCCATTCAGTGAATTGCTTTCAGTAGTAGATCATACGTTGGGAATTGGATAGGTTTATGATAATTCCCCAATGCGTGGAGTAGATGATAACTTAACCCTCTCACATCACATATGCACTTGTGCATGTGTGTTTTGGATGGTGACCTGCCCAGAGACACTGAAACTATTCAGGCTCACTCATCATTACTTTTCCAGTTACACAAATGTAATGATGTTTGGAAACAGCGATGCAAAACAGATTATTCACAGAAATATTTAGCTGCTCTGTGAATCTGAAACTTAGCATCTCTCTGTGCTTGGAGTAACATTTAGTTAATTTATCTTATAATTATTCTTTTAATTTTGGGCAATCTGTGAAAAAAAATCTTAATTTCTTAAAGTAATATAAAAATGTGCATATGTCTTTGTTTGTGACTTGTTGGGGAGGCAGTGCAGACTTGTTTCTTTCTTTCCTCCTAAGTCTGGGTTTTCCTCCTAGGCCAAGGCTTTAGCAGAAGCCTTCTCTATGCTACTATTTTTAGCTGAGTAGTTGATCAGCATTAATTTCAGGGACTGCTTCCTGACAGTGCAGCAAGAAAATGAATCTGACCACAGAGGAAATCGCACAATGCACCATTGTAAGTAATGCTATAATGAGCATGTTTCCTAGCAAGTTGGAAGTATGAGTGTTCTGTTGTGCCATATAATCAATGGTCCCCTGCACTTCTGTTTTAAAGGTCCTCTGAACTGCCAGCTTTGCAGCTGAGGGTTTCTGTTAATACCTCCAGCTGTTGTATTTGTCTTTCTCTGTCTAGTTTTCTCTTTCTTCTCTGTTCTTTGGTCTGTTTTCACCCTTTCCCTTCCCTGTGTCTGTTTGTCTGTTTTGCTCTTCTGTCCTAAGCTTTGTCCTTTTCTCAACTCCTGGAGACATACTGACAGCAGAATCATTATTTTGAACCCCAAATCTAGTTTTTCCTCCATTATTTTGCTCAGCTCCATGACAGTAGCACCTAAATATGAATTCACTCTTAGACATTCCAAGTTATCATTTGAAAAGTTACTGATTTTTTGATAGATAGTAATAATTCAATTGAATGCTGTGAGAGATGGTGTCAAAAGCCTTGTTAAAGTCAAGGAGCATCACATCCAGTGCTCTCCCCACCATCTATAGAGCCTGTCACATTTATAGAAGGAAATCAGGTTGGTCAGGCATGACTTCTCTTGGTGAATCCATGCTGGCTGTTCCTGATCACCTTGTTCTCCTCTAGGTGCTTCAAAATAAATTCCTTGAGGACCTGCTTTATGATCTTTCCAGGTATTGAAATCATGCTAACTGGTTTGTAATCCCTCTGATCTTCCTCCTTTCCTTTCTTAAAAATGGGCACTATAGTTGCCTTTTACCAATCATCCAGGAGCTCGACTCTGTGAATTCTCAAAGGGGATAGCTAATGGCTCTGAAATTACCTCAGCCAATCCTTTTGGTACCCTAGGATGCATCCCACATGGCCGCAGTGATTTGAAAGCATCTAGCTTCTCTATGTAATTCCTGATCTGTTCTGCTATTACTCTAGGCTTTATCTTCTTCCCTGTCTTTGCTGCCAGCTGTCAAATTCCCTGTCTGCTGCTGACATAGTTGGTGATGGTCCTGCTTTGAGCAGGGGGTTGGACTAGATGACCTCCTGAGGTCCCTTCCAGCCCTAATTTTCTATTATTCTATTCTTATTCTATTATTTTCATTTCTTAACTATCAGGTCCTTGGCATCTGTTGACACATCTGGCTCTTATACGACATCTTTGTCAGTAGTCCCAGGACTAAAGAGGACATGTGGACAGAACTCATGGATTTGTTTATAGCCAGGGGAGAAGAGGGCAAGAAAATAAATAATCCTAACTGTGTTAGTTAGGGTTTTGTCTTACCAGGTGACAAAGCCAACTTAAAACAAGTCAGTTAATTATAAACAAAATAGTTACTTCTCATAATCCAATCCTTTTGTCATTCCTGGAATAGATGTTTTCTGAGTTAAAACTGCAGAAGAAGACAAAATTCTGAGTACATCTACATGTGAAATTAATGTGATGCAAT